GAGATTACCTAGATTCCAGCCTTCAGCCTACCAGTAACGTCTGTTAAGTAAAAACCTAGTATCTTTCTTTATGAACACCTGGCCATTGGCTTTCTTAATCCAGCTGGCCATTGAAGAACAATACTATGAATAAAAGATATTTTGAGTTTTTTTAAATGCGTATATTTTTAAAATCTCTTATCCTTTAGGAAATATCTTTCATTACCCTTTTTATGTTGAGAATTGTTATGAACAAATTTTTCTTTTACTTAACACAGCTAAGACTGAAAATTTTCCTAAAAATGTAGATTATGCCTCTAGTAGAAAGAATGGTGAGTTTTTAATAATGAATATAAGAAATCTGGATAATAAAAGCTAAGTAATAAACATTATAATATGGTATTTATTACTTTTATAATTTTGAACATTAAAGAATTTTAAGTAAATTTTAATAAAAATGGTTTAGAATATAAGAAATCTGTTTACTTTTCACAGGTCATCATTGCATGTGTGTGCGCATGCATGTAACTGATTTTTATCAATTGAAGCAGAAAGGAATGTGTTGTTGACCTTTAAGGAAAACCTGTCAAGAACATAAAATCCTTAAAGTACTAATGTACTAATGAATAATGAAGCTAATTGAAAAGTAAACTTCTAGCCAGGCATGGTGGCCCACGCCCCTAATCCCAGCACTTTGGGAGGCCAAGGCAGGCAGATGACTTGGGGTCAGGAGTTCAAGACCAGCCTGGCTAACATGGTGAAACCCCAGCTCTACTAAAAATAAAAAAATAAAATAAATTAGCTGGGTGTAGTGGCAAACATCTGTAATCGCAGCTGCTCGGGAGGCTAAAGCAAGAGAATTGCTTGAAGCTGGGAGGCAGAAGTTGCAGTGAGCTGAGATCGTGCCACTGCACTCCAGCCTGGGCTACAGAGTGAGACTCTGTCTCAAAAAAAAAGAAAAGAAAAGAAAAGAAAAAGTAAACTTCTTTATAAATCACTTTGAATATCCTATATGATACAGAGTAGGTATTCCTAAATTGTTGCATGAAAACTCTATTGATAAAATTTTAATAGATCTCGAACTCCTAGGCTCAAGCGATCCTCCCACATCAGCCTCCCAGAGTGCTGTGATTATAGGCATAGGCCATTGCAGGCAACCAGGTTTTTTTTAACTTTTTAAAAGCTTTTTTAAAAAGTTTTCTTAACTTTTTAAGATTTCTTAACTTTTCCTTTTGGTAACCAGGAACAGGTTTAGAAGATTTTGGTTACTGAATTATTGTCACTCATATATCTGTTAATTGCTTGTCTGAATCATAGTCACCTTACTGTATTGATAATTAGTACTTATTGATGACTTAGTTCTTGTTAAGTACAGACTTTGTCTGACATAGATATTTGCCAGTAATAGAAAATATGCTTGAGTTTCATAAATACGTATATTGCAGCTTTATTCAAAATCTTAATGTGGATAAGGACAAAGTTCTTCATTATACTAATGTTAATTCTGTAGGAGAATCACAAAGAAAACAATTTACACTTACATTGTATGCTGCCATTTACAAAGTATATTGGTTTTTAATAACCCCTAAAAGTAGGCAGGGTAGGCTTTTTATAAGACTTATTTGGCAAATGGGAAAAGTGAGGCTCAGAGATCAAGTGACTTGCCCCAAGGTCAGACAGAAGTAGAAGTAGAGTCAAAATTTGATTCCCGCTACCATATTGCATCCTTCTTGGTATATTTATCTTCCTTATCATCTCAATATTATATAACAATAATAAAGGGATCAGAAACCTAAGATCAAATTCCACACTTTAAAAAAAGAAAACCTCATCTACATGCTTAGTGCTGTGCCAACTCTTATGATAATTCAATAGATTGATTGTGCTCCTCATTTATTTTCAGTGGTATGCATCTTGAGAAACTACATATTATTGCCTGTCACAATATGTAACCCATCTTAACACCACTAATCTTGGTCTTTTAATGTAGAAAACTTGGTTGTGTATTAATATAGGTAGTAACACACAAGAAAAACACTTCTAAAAAGAATATTTGATGACACATTTAACATTTTTCTTGTGGTGACAGTTGAATAAACGTTATTTTTGTCCTTAAATGGGCTTATTATTATCTAATCCAAAAGTGTACTATTGGTTCAGATTTGTCATTTTGGCTTTACAGCAGTTAGAAGAAAAAAGTGAAGATCAAGAAGACAAGGAATGTTTAAAACAAGCAATAACAGCTTTGCTTAATGTTCAGAGTGGTATGGAAAAAATATGTTCTAAAAGTCTTGCAAAACGAAGACTGAGGTGAATATTTTTACTTTTTAAAATACCCTTTTCACCCTGAATATTATGGTATAAATTCAGGGATCCCAGTTCCCTCCTCAAGTAAACAATGAAGAAAATAGTTTTAGTGACAAGCCTGGTCTTTCAGAGGAAGTGACATCAAAGCCAAGAGAATTGTTATTGTTTGAAAAACCTTTCATATTTGTGCATTTTCCTTGCATACTCCCAGACAAGACCTCCTGAGAGTCAACTGGTAAGCTAAAGGAGAGACACAGTAAAATATATTGGGTAGATTTATGCTGGCATCATTGTTCTGTCAAAGTAAAATTAGTAGTATCCTTTAGTTTAGGGATTATATAACTTGAGGCATTAATTCAGATAACATTGATTCCACTTTCCTAATTATATTAAGTGCTACATGTTTTTCGCTTAGGGTCTTATCCATTGAAGCACTTCTATATAATCTAATCTTTCAAATCTTTTTTTTTTTTTTTTTTTTTACTGTATTGGGCTACTTTTTAATATTTGATTCTAAATATTTAGTAGCCAAGATAGAAATGATCATTTTGTAGTTAAAATTGTAGGGTAGAATTTTGTCAATCATCATTGCACTTTTTAGAACACTGAAAAAATTTTCTAGGTTGCTTTAATTTTCAAAATTGTGTAATTGTGTAACACTAATATATTGGGGAATTAGTGAATACCTTCCCAGTGAGACTTTTAAAAATCTCCATTTACACTTTCCCTTATTTATGTGAACTCTGGGTTTTCTGTCATCTGTGTACTAATAATGCCTTTTTCTTTATTCCAGTGAATCTGCATGTCGGTTTTATAGTCAGCAAATGAAGGGGAAACAACTAGCAATCAAGAAAATGAACGAGATTCAGAAGAATATTGATGGTTGGGAGGGAAAAGACATTGGACAGTGTTGCAATGAATTTATAATGGAAGGAACTCTTACACGTGTAGGAGCCAAACACGAGAGACACATATTTCTCTTTGATGGCTTAATGATTTGCTGTAAATCAAATCATGGGCAGCCAAGACTTCCTGGTGCTAGCAATGCAGAATATCGTCTTAAAGAAAAGTTTTTTATGCGAAAGGTACAAATTAATGATAAAGATGACACCAATGAATACAAGCATGCTTTTGAAATAATTTTAAAAGATGAAAATAGTGTTATATTTTCTGCCAAGTCAGCTGAAGAGAAAAACAACTGGATGGCAGCATTGATATCTTTACAGTACCGGAGTACACTGGAAAGGATGCTTGATGTAACAATGCTACAGGAAGAGAAAGAGGAGCAGATGAGGCTGCCTAGTGCTGATGTTTATAGATTTGCAGAGCCTGACTCTGAAGAGAATATTATATTTGAAGAGAACATGCAGCCCAAGGCTGGAATTCCAATTATCAAAGCAGGAACTGTTATTAAACTTATAGAGAGGCTTACATACCATATGTATGCAGGTAAGAAATACGAAGTTGGCTGTCACTTTTGTTTTCCTGCTTCAAACTGATTTTCTTTCCTGCATGGGTTATTGTGCCTAAAATAGAAAAGAAACTAACAACCAAAGACCTCTTTTCTTTGACTAAAAAAGATACCAACACTTTATATTTCTTTGGAATGTTTTACTTTTTCTACTATACTTACATACTTTTTTTTAACCTTACCATCAGTTATAGATGAGAAAATGAGGTCACTTGGCTAAATTTATCCAATTAGAAAGCAACAGAAACAAGACTGAAGTTCGTAATAAATCATCGTTAACTGGGATCTAAAAAGTTTACTCTTTTGTCTTTTTTTCTTCTCTTTCTATTACTGAGATTATATAGTAAAAATGTTAATATAACAAAATTTTTATATTAATATACAAATATATACAGCATTGCTTTCTCTCGATTTCCACTCCTAAACCTGATTATTTAATATTAAATGTGGCAATCCTGGAAGCCAAGGACTCTAGTTTTATTATTTTTCACCTAGAAATGTCTATAGTCAATGTATTTATTTTATTGACCCAAAAATTTGAAAAATAAACCATAGGAAATAGGTTGCCTAGATTTTACATGAAAAACAAATAGGTTATTGTCATTTTTTTCCACATAAAGCTGTTTTTTGAGAGGTACAATTTTCAGTAGTATGACCTGCTACTTTACTTGTACTTCACCAACCTTCTCTATACTCTTTATGATCTAGACTACAACTATAAAAATGTTTTGTTAAGTTACCCAAAATTTGTGGTTCCAAAATACTTCTTTGCTGCTTAAGGGATTTTTAAGGTTTTAAAAGTTAAATTGCCCTTCTTGCCACATTTTCCTGGTTTTTAAGTTCCCTTAAAGGACTCAGAATTTTTATAACATAAGCATTCTAAACTTTTTATCATTTCATCCTAAATATGTTTTTTTGGGGCTCCTAGACTCATTTGGAGTAAAATTAATCTTTAGATTTTTATCTGTGTTTGTAAGAAAAGTTTTAATTTTTTTTTTTTCCTGTAGAGGATTTTAAGTGGCAACTGCCGGAGAAGATTTACTACTGGTGTTTACTGTCACAAGTCAGTGATCTTTGGGCAGGAAAACATTTTCAAATTATAAAATTTGTAATTGTTTCTGTAAGACTTGATTGTGAGTGATAAAAGTTTTCTTTAAGTTGCTATATTTCACAAAGCTAATTTATGATTATTAATAAGCAGCCAAGGAATGACAGCTATTTTCTGAGGAGCTATGTTTTTTACTTTTTAAATGAGGACATTTTAAAGCAAACTTGAACAAGCTGATACTTGTTCTGTAGTCTTGAAAGTCTCTTCTTAATGTGTACAATGCTGGCTAAAGTCTATTATGGATGTGGTACTTTTGTAATGATGTTTTGTTATTTCTGATCTTTTCTATATCAATTTTTAGCTTTGATATCGAGTAATATTTTGAGTGCTTTTACTTCTAATAAATATAAAACACTTAAATTTCAAAATTTATAGAACCTTGTTAAAGTTAAGTGTATTGAAAATTTAAATCGATGGCATTATTTTACTTAAAAAAATAAGTTTTAAAAAAGTCGTTCCAATAATTTCTTGAGAAATAAAAGGCCAGTGTTGGTTTTAGAAGTGCTGGGGCTAAGTTTTTTGACATTTTTCTTTTCTATCTTCTTTTGGAGCGTAACTGAATATGTCATAAATATATTACTGGTGAAACTGGGGTCTACAAGCAGCTTTTGTGAGTTGTGGTTCACAATACACAAAAATTAGTGTTAACTGTTAGCTTATTTGGTCTATCCTGTAAGGTCTGTTACTGAACTTATTTCTGGCAACATAGAATGGGTTTTTAATAGACCATCATCTATGAACTTGTAAAACTGAAGTGGATTTTTAAGGCCTAACTACAATGGTAACAGATCAAGTTACCATTTGTTTTTAAGAATTGTTGGTCTGCTCTTCTCTCACCTTTCATCAGCCTACCCAAAGAAAAAAGGGATTTATGATTTGGTTAGTAGGTATATTTATTGGAGAACATACAGTACAGGTTGTGGCTTACACTGAAACAAAGCTAGCATTTAACTTACACATTTTTATTATATAAAATGGTAATAAAAGACATTGGATATAATACATGAGAAAATTTAATAATGAATACTATAAGACATCACTTACAGCATCTTTTAGATTATTATAGTTTGGTTAGACATTGTCATAAAAACAGAAGAGAAACTAGTTTAACCTTACTTTATTCAGATTTCACTGTGGTGTTCAGCCAACTTTATCTCTCAAGTGTTTTAACAGTAATGTACAAAATGGAGCTATAGATCTCTAGTGCTCAAAGAGATGTACAAGCCTTCACTTTGTAGACAAATCCCAAGTCCCCTGAAGATATGATTTGCCAGAAGTCATATTACCAGTTAATTCCAGAACATGGACTTGAAATTAGGTTTCTTGACTTAGTAGAGTACTTTTCACCTAGTTACACTGACTCATATAAGGTGACTGTTTTCATGAATAGAGTATGTTATAACTTTTAAATTAATGTGTCAATAAAAGGATCTGGTACAGATGTGAACTCATAAAAAATAAATAACTTCCTTGATTTGAACTGCCAATAATATAAATGGCTTGTTCATTTCTGAGCAAATGTGTGTACTATGAAGATATTGTCAGTAATTTTTTTTTTCTTATTGAAATAGGGTAGAGGTGAGCCCTCACTATAGATACACTTCCATTGGAATGCATAGATTTTTTATGTATAGTTAGATACTGGTCATTATTTTATTTTTTTTACAGTTAGAAAATGGTTAACTTGCTTAAAAGATTGCAACAGGGTCTTATGTGGAATCTATAGCTTGATTTGGTGTTTCTGGATGTATCATAATTCCTAACTATATCAGAACTTTGGGATTTGTCCCAAAAGCTAGGGGAAAAATTATCCAATTGGATGGATCATTCTATATCTGGAAATAATATGAAGAGACTATTTCTTTATCCTAAGTAAGAAAGCAAAAAGCAATATGCACAAAGAAAAAGTTGAGAGTAGGAATTTCACTTCTGTTACAGAGTTGTAGGCAACAAAGTACAAGTTAGTTAATGAGACCTAAAACAACATTAGAGAAATGGTAGGTGGTGCAGTGTCCAGTTTAATAGTCTATTTTAGAAAAATATACCCTAAAGTAAGGATAATAGTTCAGAATTGACATTTTTTGGGAAATAAAAGCTTTGCATATTCAACTGTGGGAAAAGGTGTTTCCCTTGCATGGGAATTTCTCTTTTACAGAAGATGATATTGAAAAAAACTTAAGCCAAAAGATATTTTTCTTTAAAGTATTTACTGCTATTTTATACCTTCATATGGGAAAGCCTCAAAAACCTGAATTAGATTTACTTTGAGTTTGTGTCCTATATAAGCTCAGTTTGGGTGTTTTAACTTTTTTAAACCTTTGAACAATTTTTGATCTGTAGGGCAGTGTTGTTCTATTTTTAAACTCTCTGATTTTTTAAAAAAGTGTTTGTGCGTCAGCATAGCGTCTGTTTCCTTTTTGAAGGAATTCAAGACTGATTGTTTATAAACCCTTGTTGAGGAGCTTATTGTTTCTTGTAGCTTTTTAAATGGCTGCTTTAAAGGGAGAATTATCACATGAACAGACATCCTGATTAACAGTGTTTTACTATGGTGGTTGGGTGTAGGGTGGTCTTTACATAAATAACTTTTTTATGTAATAAATATTTCACAAATCTCATTGACCTTGTCAAATAAAATGTCAACTGTCAATCAAAACAGGCACATAAGGAAAAAGGATTGGATTATCACTTCCAATCTATATTCTGAACACTAATGTAGGTATATTTTGAGTTCCTAAAATTTTGAAGAATTGTGCAGTAAAATATCAAAGAATGGTGGTTTTACAGTGAGGAAGACAGAGACAGATAGAAGGCCAGTACACAAAAATAACTATAGCTTCTGTTTGAAATAACCTGGGCCTAAACCAGGTTGGTGATGGTAGAATGGCAGGTATTTCTACAGAGTTAGCTGTTTTGAGTAGGGGAAGCAAAGCAGCTAATGAACATGGTGGAAACGTTAGTGCAGGGATTTGAGAGTCAAGTAGCCGAGTAATGTTATCTCTAATGATGGGGGGGAAAAAACTGTAGAAAAACTTTTTGTTGACCATATTAAAATCCATTAGGAAGTCATGTTTGAAAAAGAACTTTGTGGAATTATCTCCACAAGCAAGTGATAAACAGAAAGGAGAATATAAAAATAGGCTGTTTTTAATTTTTTTCTCCAATTATATGTTCTTGCTTATGTTTTAAAGCCAAACCCAGCCTGGCTTTTGTATTTTTATGTGTTTACCTTTCATCTCTCTCTGCAACTTGGTTTTAGAATATGAGTAGATAACTGCTGCTCTACACCTAACGATGGCAGTATAAAACTTCATTTTTACCCTTGCCTAATCAAAAGAACTAGGTACTCTGTTTCCTTACAAAATTATATAACCGGTCCTTATTGATGGGCATTTGTTTATGTTATCTTAGCTCTTTACATTATCAGTAAGATAAAGGTCTCCAGTGGTTAGTGACATGGTGTATGTTAGTCATTGAAATGGAGAAACCAATGCAATAGAAATTAAAGTAACTTCTGGAATTTGTATGCTTTTCTGTATAAAATTTCAAATATAAGTATTTTGTCTTCTCTGTGTTTTTGATTCATTAGCAATTTTTCATTGCTTTAGACTAAAAATAGAATATAAATTAATACAAGCCTGGGATTGTATGCAGCCTTCAAGATATTATTTCAAAGTACTTAAATTTTTGCCAGATTTTCTTGGTTTATTTCTAGTTTCTGCTACTTTTGTCTTTTGACAAGACTACTCTTAATTCTAGTCAAGCTAAAAATAACTCTAGAACCTAATAGAACAGTCATGATTATGGGAATGTTAATTTCACTGCCAGCTGCAGAAACCCTATACAGCATACGGGAAGGTACAGTTGTTAATTCCTAAAATCTGGAAGAAGACTGATCAAGAGTTACAGAATCACAATTAGACTGCTAGTTTTTCAGTGTCTTTCTGGTGCCTTTAACCAAGATTAGCAATACAGGTACATTCTGAATTAATCATTCATGTAAATTTCTGTAGTGATTATAACTTGTGGTTTAATTCTTTATATTTAGATCTCACAGCTGTGGAAACTTTAAGGAACCCTGGATTTAAGGGTTTCTTTAATCCAGGGAGGTTATATGATATGATAGAAAAGAGCACTAAATCAGGAATCACATGATCTAGGTTCTGGATCCATCTCGCCACTCTGCTGTATGACCTTAGATAAGCCTAGTTACATCTCTTCCTTGTTTCTGCTTGTTCATGTGAACAGTTTCTGCAGAAATCATATGAAATAAGTTATGTGAAAGTTTCTTTGAGAATGTTACATAACAGACCAAGAATTAGTGTGATCCCATTTGACTATGCCACTGAAACACATCATGGCTTTCCCAGCATTATAATCAATTACCGAAGTAATGGAATGGCCAGAAGTTTTGGCTTAAGAAGATTAAAAGTTTGTTTAGAAATAACTTGCCTTTAAACATAGCCACAGTTTTCTTAAAACATACTTTAATTCACTTAGAACTTGATTTTATTGTTTTTCAACTTAAAATTCCCCTTGATATCCCTCAGTTTTTTAGCCTGATTTTCGTGGCATTTGAGAAAAAAATGGATGTGGGTGTTGATTTTAGATTTTTACACTGAAATAAACTTTTCCTTTAAAAAGGGAGAGGGTACCCTAAATTTGGAACACAGGTCAGGGATGCTTGGAGTACTCTGTACTGTGGATGTGGTCTCTCTCCAACAGTGACCACTCAGCATCTCTCTAGTGGCCACTGCTTTTGCTTTTTGAGTAGCCTCACCTTACAAATAGATTTGCAGAACAGGAAGAAGATTCTTGAAAGGGAAGATTGTGATGAAACCGATAAAAATCTCTGTATTAAAATCTTGTACAGCCTTCTGTTTTAATATCTTTTCTTCTGGATGAGACATTAGTCTTTAACTTTTGAGGAACTCTGTAACTGAAGACAAACAATAAAATACCAACAGAGAGGAAATTATTAAAGGATTATATGTATTTAAATTACTTTTATCAGTAACCCACTCTAGCCTCAGAAGGTATAATTAAGCTTAAGGAGAAGGGGGCATTTAAAACCAATGTATTTTTATCCTGTAAATCTTTCTTTAACTTAAAATAGTATTATTTTAAATTCAAGGTTGTCTGATTTTTAAATCAGTTATTATCTTGATGACCATATATATATATATAGATTGGAAGTATATTTCTGTTTTATGATAAATCCATGAATTTGCTTTTTGGGGAAAAAGTTATTGTAAACATTTTATTTTAAGGCTAAACCTAGGATGGTTCTTAGTGAGAATCGGCCTAAATAGACATTTTCCAAACAAATACATTCTGCTTTTGCTAAATCCTATGCTAATAAAAGACATTGTGCTTCTTATAAAACTTGACCCACATTATGTAGCCTAACAGAAATAAAGGCATCTGCTTTCCTCTATGAATTTACTATTGGAGTTTGCCAGTCCCTAATATAAATAGGAAAAGAATGCTCCCAATAAAAGATTCAAGTTACTGAACTTTCCCCTCCATTAAAAAAAAAAAAAAAAAAAGACTTACAATTAAATGTAGGCCTTGACAAAATTTGAGTTGTAGAAGTGAGTGATTTTTCCCCCCGTTATGGGAGATGTTTTCCCCCCTTTATGCAGAAGACAGCAGCCCAAGTCTCTTGTGCTGGTGACAGCAGCCTTTCTCCACAACGTAGGAGAATACTGTCATGGAGATAAGGAGTAGGCCAGGCCTGGAGGAATGATCACATTTAGCCTCCTGTTTTACTTCATGGAGATGTGAATGAAAAGTAGGTCCTTTCATGGAAGGGATTGGAGACTCCTGTACTTACGATTGACCTCTCATTGTGACTACTTGAAATAAAGGCAATTAAAGGATGGAATAGGACCAAACCAAAATATTCTAGCACATTTAATAGTTTAATAGCTTATAAGTTTTTATAAGCATCTTTAAGCAGTTGTGAGATTTTTAGCAAATAATTTAAATACTATATTTAATTTAAGCTACTACTTTATAAGTTCCAATTTCCAGTTGTATGTTCTTTTAACATGATTTAAAGAAAGCTAGATAAGCAATCCTAGATAAACTAACCTTGATGTAAGAAAAAGTAATGGGTTATTGCTGTGGCCTTTCTCTTTACAAGGGAGATAAACCAACTGGTGATGCTTTGAGATCCTGATAGGTGGTAGGAGGGGGGAGCTTGGCTCTGTGCTTTACCTTTGCTTTTCTTTCTTGCTCATTCATATGAACGATGAGTTTAAGATCATCTTGTCAGTGTGCAGAGGGCAAGAAATAAATTGATGTAAAGTTTTAATATCAGTGTTTTCACAACTAATTTAGAAGGCACTAAGCTAGCAGTGCATTACCAAGTCTAAAGCCTTCTACTTGTCAAAACATTTTGGAACCTTTGAACTTGACTATTTGATCTATTTTGAAAATGTAAATAATAGTTTTAATCATTTTGAATCAAAGACTTTAATAAGATATTTTTCCTTTTTCTTCTTAGATCCCAATTTTGTTCGGACATTTCTTACAACATACAGATCCTTTTGCAAACCTCAAGAACTACTGAGTCTTATAATAGAAAGGTCTGTCCAGTTAAAAAATATTTAAATTTATTATTTTTTTAAAGATTGAGCTAAGATCTTACATTTTTCAGAAATATGTTAGGTGAGCTTTAAAATAGACTTCATGAGCACTTTTTCAATAAATAAAATCTCTTAGATGAATATGTATTCTATAATGTTAGCTTTTATTTAAATAAAAAAATATTCTTTTTGTATGTGAAAACTCAGCATTTGAAATTTCAAATTTACAGAATTAAAGATCTATATATAATTTATAATTTAGAGTCTAGAAATTCAAATTTTGATGAATCAGATGTTCTAAACAGTTTTCAAACATACTTTATGTTGAGTAAAATAGAGCTTGTCAGTGAACAAATACTGTAATAAAAGGAAAATATTTCCTACACCTAAATAAAGAACAGTCAGTTTTTCTGGAATTACCCTTCAAAGTGATTTTGTCACCTGATTTAGAGTAATTCCACTAACCAAAAATGAATGTCAGTCCCATAACTTTATAGTCACATTTATTTTTAGAATTTGCATGTATTCTTTATTTTGTTTGTAGTTAGTTTTATCTATATTGGCAAGTACTAATTTCTTTTAAAATTTTTAAAATAATTTTATTAGCCTTTAATATTATAGAATTCTCACTTGTTTACACTGAGATGCATATCTTTAGTAATTTTTTACAGTATTCTCTTTTTGCTGACTGGTAAAAAGGTTTGTAGTTTTCTATTTGTATAACTCAATATAATTAGTATTTTCATTAATTTGTTTCATTTTATGTTAGGTTTGAAATTCCAGAGCCTGAGCCAACAGAAGCTGATCGCATAGCTATAGAGAATGGAGATCAACCCTTGAGTGCAGAATTAAAAAGATTTAGAAAAGAATATATACAGCCTGTGCAACTTCGGTAAGCATTAAATAAATGAAGTAAATAAGTCTTTATCAAACTTCTGTTTCAATGTTGAAGTATATAAGGACCTTTCCCAAACAAGGTGGGTGGGGATGACAATAAAATTAGTAAATTAAATTTACTAATTAGAGCAGTTATCAGAAATTATAAGTCTCAACATTAGAATTTTGGAAGTGTTAAGCACACTGGTAAGATTAATTTGGTAATTGATGGAGCTGAAAAAGACAGTATTTAAAAAAAAAGAAAAAAGATTAATTTGGTAAGAGTTACTCTGTTTTCATTTGTATTGTACTACGCATTGTATTTATGTTTGAGTTCCCATGTAATTCAATTCTGTGTTAATGCCATAGAGTATTAAATGTATGTCGGCACTGGGTAGAGCACCACTTCTATGATTTTGAAAGAGATGCTGATCTTTTGCAACGAATGGAAGAATTTATTGGAACAGTAAGAGGTATGTTTTTTTTTTAGGTGCCTAGTTTTATATGTAATTAAAGCACCAATATGGTAACTATCAATTGATGTCATTGTGGCTCAGTAGTAAGAGATGTTTATAATGGTACCAGCATAACCATTTGAAAAAGTTAAAATTTTTCATCAAACAACCTTTAGACCTGCAAATTCCTCAGTAGTCACCCTGTTGATCCAATGTATTTTCATTTAGTGAATCAACTTACTGATTATTTTAGAGTTGGTTAAGCCAAGTTTTCACACATATCCAAAAGTGTGAGGGCATTTGGGAACTACATTGTGCCATTATAATACCACTGATAGAGGTCAAGTGGGCCACAGGCCAATAGAGAGAATCTGAGAGGAAGCAGAGTGGATTAAATTGAGAGTCTGTGTCTAACACTGCCACTAATCAGATACGTTGACTTTGGGCAAAATCACTTAGATTCTTTAGACTTCAGTTTTCTTGTCAATAACATAAGGAGCTAGGTTTAATAATCTCCAGAGTTTTCCTTCTAGTTTTAAAGATTATATGATTGTTTGGCTCTAAGGATGTCTTAGACTGCGGTAAGCATTAAAGTCTTAGACAAACTTACTTTTTTTTCCATTGTATGCTCTAAATGAGAATCAGAAAATAAAGAGTTAAATAATAGTACTTTCATGTACAATACAAAACAGAGCCACATCAAAACTCACACTAAAAATGAAGGAATCAGTCCTCTGGCACTGATATTTATTGGTTTATAAAATGCAGTGTTAATTAGATTAATAGTGAATGTGTATAATCTATCCTTATAAATCTTGTGATTTATGTAAGATACACCTTTTCTTGGAGGATTATCAAGTAATACATTAAACTGAAAATCAGAACAATAGGAGTAGACAAGCTGTACAAATTAATTACTTTCTAATTTTGTTTGGAAAGGATCTGGAAGAATACATACCAGACTATTAACAGTGGTTACCCATGTGGAGAAGAATAAGATTGGGATAGGGGACCAGGAAATGGAAAAGGGAAACTTGCATTTTTTCATTTTGATCATTTGAACTTTTTATAGCAAAGATACATTCAGGAATCGTCTGTGTGATTTTAAACCATTTTTAAAATATAAAATAATAATATTTCAATGTTATTTAAAATATAATGTATTGCAGGTAAAGCAATGAAAAAATGGGTTGAATCCATCACTAAAATAATCCAAAGGAAAAAAATTGCAAGAGACAATGGACCAGGTCATAATATTACATTTCAGAGTTCACCTCCCACAGTTGAGTGGCATATAAGCAGACCTGGGCACATAGAGACTTTTGACCTGCTCACCTTACACCCAATAGAAATTGCTCGACAACTCACTTTACTTGAATCAGATCTATACCGGTATGTAATTTAACATTCAAGCTGAAAAATCTTTCAAAAGAGTTAATTTTTAAAATGAAATACTGATTTCTGCCTTATAGGGTTGTCATAAGACTTAACTGAAATGTTATATGAAGTGTCTAGTAATAAGGCCTGGTAGGCAGTTCCTGTTCTTTCACTCCCGTGGTCCATCTAGCTGAATTTACACCTTCTGTCTTTCTGTGGTCACCCCTAGTTGGTAAGGCTAGGTTTAAATCCTGGCTTTAGCAATTGCTGGCCCTGGGCAACTTTAACCTCCCTGTGTAACTTTATCCTTCTGCCCCTTATTTTCCTCAATAGTGAAATGGGGCTACTGATGGTACCCTACTCCTGGGGCTGTTTTGAGGTTTGAAAGTCAGTGTATGTACATTACTTAGCACAGAGTAAGAGCTCAATAAATGTTAGCTACTGCTGTTGTTGTGAACTTATATCATAGCCATTATAGTCTTTTTTAGTTTATCATACTACATTGATATAATTATCTTTCCGATTTTAAATGGGGACTATTTAGAATCTCAAACTAAATTATTCATTTTTAAATAACTAAATGAGAAAATGAGCTAAATTGATAGATCTTCCACTAAAAATCATGTTTCTGA